TCCTCCTCCTCCTCCTCCTCCTCCTCCTCCTCCTCCTCCTCCTTCTCCTTCTGCACACCCCATCCCTTCTACAATTGATGAAGTTACCTAGTTGGGTCATGAAACATCTGCAAGAAAACCACCAAGCTCAGAGAGCACCAAAGATCCCATGGTCCTCCTCCTCCTCCTTTTTTTCCCCAATGCCGTTGTAACTTCAAACAGTCGCTGAGTGAGCCATCCTAAGTCGAGGACCACCTGTGTATTGTTTTCAGAAGCAGCCAGGCCATTCCCACATCCTCAGATCAGAGGCCGATGTGCCGTTTTAATGCTTTTGCCGATATTTCAACTTTGCTTTTTCATTTATTTATTTTTTTCCTTCCTTCCCCCCCCCTTCTCCGAACCACCTTTTCCAGCCAAATCAATGAATTTATCGCTTCCGTTGACGCCTGAATCGCCAAAGTAAGTATCGGGAACTGCAGCTGCTTCTGAGAGGGAGGGGGGGTTTTTAAATCTAATTTGGCTACAGCAACTCCATTTCAGCTTGTTTTTATAAATGTCGCCTGTCTTCCAGCGATCCGAAGGGTTCCCCATTTGAGAGCAAGGCCATCGGACAAAGCTTAAGTGTGGAACTCTGTGGAACTGCAGGTGAGAAACACACACCTCTACCTTCGCCAGAGGTTTTTTTAAAAAATGTTTTATTAACATCTGGACGTTAACGAAGCTCGTCACTTCGGGGGTCTCTTAAGAAATGGATGTCGATATCGTTGAGAAAGATCACTTTTCCTTCCCTGCGCACGAGATCTGCTTTAAAAAAGTGACGGATTCCCTACCTGACGAGCATGACATAATTTGGGGGGGAGGGAGGAAAAAGGGAATGAGATAATGTCTCCGGAGATTCCTCAGTCGTCCAGGTCCTGGTTTTATCCCAAGGGTGCTTTTTTTTCAGGAAGCAACTGGAGAAAAACAAGAAAGACCAGTTGCACCTTTTTGGGGAGGTGAATGAATGAAATAACTTTTAATGGGAATGTTCCAAAAGTGCTTTTTCAAGAGGCAACTGGACTTTTGTTGTTTTACTTTTCACTTCTCATCCCAGAAGCTTCTTCCGCTCTGATCGGATGGTGGGGAAGGGAAGGATTTATACTCCTTGTAGACAGCTGGTCATTTGCATCCTTTTAGAGAGTCATTGAGGCCACTTGGAGTTTTATTAACATCTGGACATTAACGAAGCTCGTCGCTTTGGGGTCTCTTAAGAAATGGATGTCGATATCGTTGAGAAAGATCACTTTTCCTTCCCCGCGCACGAGATCTGCTTTAAAAAAGTGACGGATTCCCTACCTGACGAGCATGACATAATTTTTTTTGGGGGGGAGGAAAAAGGGAATGAGATAATGTCTCCGGAGATTCCTCAGTCGTCCAGGTCCTGGTTTTATCCCAAGAATGCTTTTTTTCAGGAGGCAACTGGAGAAAAACAAGAAAGACCAGTTGCACCTTTTTGGGGGTGGTGGTGAATGAATGAAATAACTTTTAATGGGAATGTCCCTAAAGTGTTTTTTCAAGAGGCAACTGGACTTTTGTTGTTTCACTTTTCACTTCTCATCCCAGAAGCTTCTTCCGCTCTGACTGGGTGGTGGAGAAGGGAAGGATTTATACTCCTTGTAGACAGCCGGTCATTTGCATCCTTTTAGAGAGTCATTGAGGCCACTTGGAGCTTTGTCTGTGTCCTCAGTGGTGCTTCTTCAAGAGGCAACTGGACTTTCTTGTTTTTCTTTGAAGACATTTCGCTTCTTATCCCAGAAGCTTCTTCCGCTCTCACTGGATGGTGGGGAAGGGAAGGATTTATACTCCTTGTAGACAGCTGGTCATTTGCATCCTTTTAGAAAGTTGTTGAGGCGACTTGGAGCTTTGTCTGTGTCCTCAGTGGACACAGACAAAGCTCTGTGGACTTTCTCGTTTCTCTTTGAAGATGTTTCGCTTCTCATCCCAGAAGCTTCTTCAGCTCTGACTGGATGGTGGGGAATGGAAGGATTTATACTCCTTGCAGACAGCTGGTCATTTGCATTCTTTTTAGAGAGTCGTTGAGGCCACTTGGAGGTTTGTCTGTATCCTCAGTGGTGCTTTTTCAACTGGACTTTCTTGGTTTTGCCTTGAAGACATTTTGCTTCTCATCCAAGAAGCTTCTTCAGCTCTGACTGGATGGTGGGGAATGGAAGGATTTATACTCCTTGCAGACAGCTGGTCATTTGCCTCCTTTTAGAGAGTCTTTGAGGCCACTTGGAGCTTTGTCTGTGTCCTTCCTTCGTCCCCACTTCAAGATGTATATTAGGATCTGTTTGCAGCTTCGAGATGGCAACTTGAAAGCTCTAATTTTTCTTTCAAAAAACAACAACAAACCAAACAGAGAATCTTTTTCATCTGTCTTTTGCAGGGGGAGGGATATATTTCCTGCTTCTGCCCCCTCCGTTTGAAAAAGCAAATGTCTTCGGTTTACTCCCACTTTAGCTGAAAAGCTACAACCGCACACCCCAAAACCCAACCAAAATTAGTTTTGACAAATGATAGAGGTCACAGGTGCCCCGTGCGAGTCCAAATTACAGCTGCAGCGCTATATTGCGTCTTCAGATTGTGTAGTTCTGGTGCTACCGTGGCTCTATTTATAACAGTTTAAATAGCGGTTGCCTTGATCTCCGGGTTGAACTGAAAAGGCCATTAGTGGGCCTGTTCATGCTATCAAAGCACAAACTATGATAATATAAATAGAAACTTCCTTGATTTTACTTCTCTCTCTCTCTC